TCTTATTTGCAAAGGGCAGTGGAAACAGCTACCTCTTCAAAATCATCAGTCCTACTTTCCTAAGTCTGAAGTTTAGGGTGTGAGTTTACAGGAAGAACAGGAAGGACAGCTCCTCCCAATTCCCATGATTTTCCCCCTTGAGCTTGAGTTCAAGGGAAAATGTACAGTTATGCTCTGCATGGAATTTCAGTGTATGCTTGGAATAAAAGTGAGTCTGGATATGAAGAAAAGATTATCAAAGCTATAAAACTTAGGCGAAATAGGATTAAACCTCACACTTTACACAGTGTTAGGTTCTAAAGTCAGGCTGAAGGTAAAAAGCAACAGGAGCCCCAAGTGACCTCTGAAACATTTAAATCACCCATAAAGTCACCATGTGCATGATCAAGATTTACATGTCAAACTTGTGTTTCCTCCAGCATGGGATCAGGTACTGTTTCTTCAGTCGAACACCAGACGAAGTTCCTATACTGGATTCACGTACAGGAGGCATCTGTAGTCTTTCTTTAGTACTAGGTGCAGACTCAGGGCTATGACATGCTTATCTTGACAGGCACATTGTGCCTTAGACCACCTAAAGAGTCAGCAGCTCTGTCTTCCATTCTAAGCACTCTTTGTTCACAATGGGGCAGAGGCTCACATAGTGCAAGAAGGCAGAATCCTTACACTGCTGTTTAAATGGTTTGTCTCCCTCTCTCTTTCCCTTTCTCATTTCTTCCTTTATTCCAATAAACTTTTCTTCCTTTTTCAATCATCCCTTATTCTTTTTATCTGAAAATCTACAAGTCTCTCTTTGAGTAAAATCATGTTTTTTTTTTTAAACTAGAGAAATTAAGAAGATATTCTAATGGGAGTGGGGTAGATAGATAGAAAGAAGGTTACTCAAAAGAAACTAGGTGATAAGACACAGTGGAATGACGAGGTGAAGTGGAAGAGGGAGAAATTATAGCAAGAAAACGGGAATGACAGCACACTATTTCTTGGAATAGTCTATGTGGAAGCGCTGTGAAAATGCAAAGCACTATTCAAATGCTAAGTGTAGTTTGCCTAGAATTGACTCTGATTGGTGAAGCCTTTGTGAAACTTGTAGCACACCATTCTTTTTTCAGTTATTTTACTGTGGTAGAATATATATATATTATATATATAATAAAATTTATTTTTCAGTTATTATACTGTGGTAGAATGTATTTTATTATATATATATAATAAAATTTACCATCTTAACCATTTTTACCTGTACAGTTTGGTGGTATTATAATATTCATAATCTTGTGCAACCATCACTGTCAACCTGCTGACAGTGATGGCTGCCATAAACCTTTTCACTTTATAAAACTGAAACGTTATACTCACGGAACAATAATGCTCCATTCCTCTGTCTCCCTAGTGCCTGGCCAGCACCATTTCACTCTGTCTCTGTGGTTCAGGCTACTCTAAGTAGGTTGAAGAGGTGGAAGCAGCAGTGTTTGTCTCCCTGTGACTGGCTTCTTTTGTTCAGCATAATGGCCTCAAGGTTCATCCGCGTATCGCCTGTGTCAGAATTTTCTTCTTTCAAGAAGAAAGTAATATTTCTTCTTGAGTAATATTTTTTGTATCTGTATACCACATTCTGCTTGCCCACATCTGTGGATGGGCTCTTGTGTTTCTTCTGCGTCTTAGTTATTGTGAATAATGATGCTGAGCAGATGGGTGTATAAATATCTGTGTGAGTCCCTGCTCTCCGTCCTTTGGGGTATAGGCCCAAAAGTGAAATTGTGGGACCATATGGTAATTTTCTTTTTATATTTGTGAGGAACGGCCATACAATTTTCTACAACGGCAGTGCCATTTTATATCCCCAATAACATTGCACAGGGGTTCCAATTTATCCACATCCTTGCTGACACTTGTTTCCTGTTTTTTCGTAGTAGCCAGTCTCATGGGGGTGTGGCGGTTTGTCTCAAGTCGAGTCTTATCCCCCAGACTCCCACACGTAGAGTGGCCACTAGGTAAAAATCCCTCGGAAAATTTCCAGTTATAGAACAGGTTATGTCAAGTTCTTAGTAATTTTATCTTCAGAAAAATTTTACTTTCTCAGGTGGAGAGCAGTAAATTTTATGACATTTTTGTAGTAATCAACCAAAATTAAGCCCTAAGTGTCAGGTACTAGCTAGATGCTTGATACACAAAGACATCCTTAAGGCACTCACAGTTGAAGGGGGATTGGAAATTTGTCTTCTTCCAGAAAATTTACATGAGGCCTTCTTTGAATCAAATAACCACACTATTTCTTAATAAACAATGGTGTGAATAACAAACCAACAAGACTCATCTAATTTCAAAGAAAACTAAGGCAGTAATTAAAGCCTGTGGAAGATCACTAATGCCACTACAGCATTTGGATTGCTACGAATATTGCACAAAACCAGGATGATTGGAGTAGGACAAAAATTAATCTTCTAATCTGCTAAGGGAATTTTGTTTCTCAAAGATGCTTTTAAATTGAGACTATTTAGAATATAAATGTTACAATACTCAAAAATCTTTAAATCAGTAGTAATTAACTATTGAAGTTAATTTGACCTTACAGGTCAAAATGATAATAGATACAGGGAATTTTGGGGACTAATATCGACATGAAAATTCTGAGATTAATTACATTAGGTGATTGGTGATTTATTGGGATAAAATTTTAAAAGGATATAAATCATGTTGTAAGAAGACAGATACATAATATTTTGATCATCTTGGTATAAATATTTTACCAGGAAAAGAATAGGTTTTGAATTTTCTTTTGCTGAGTTCCGGAATGAGTTTTAATCTGTTTGTAATGGATTTATGTCCTGTTGTATGGTGGTAAATATTTGATAAGTAGCTTACTTTTATTCTTTTAGAAAATAAAAATGCTACGATGGGTAATGCCAGTTTCTGCAGTGCGTGTAACCCACTACGGTGGGTGTCAGGCTGCCCGTGTGATGTCACTGAACATGGAGTTGACAGGCAAATAGACACAACAGGCTCTTGCAACCTGGTCCTGCACACGTCTGCTTATGTCTGAAACTATACCCGAAGTCAAGAGTGACTTGATGAAATCCCCTATAATCCAAATAAACTTGACTGAGAGTGTACTCCGGTCTGTCAGCCAACAAGCCTCAAAGTCAGAGGACTTAAAGGACTAAGAGTTCAATTTTTGACTTTCAGAGCACATACTTTAAAAATCACCAAAAGTAAGATATTTAGATAATTTTAAATGAAAGGAACAATTGTCACCTAGGGACACATTCTCTTTTCTTGTCACTTATAATTGATTACAAGAAACACTGATACAGCCTTCAGTGCCCAGCACTCTTCAGAAGAAGGGTTCAGGCCCACCTGGGCAGGTAATTGGAGGAGAGAGCTGCTGGGCTGACTCAGGAGGAATGCCCAATGTTTGCAAACATTTCCTAAACAGAATCACACAGCTGGGTATTGTGAGATGTTCTGGAATGGTGATGTAAGCAGTATAAAATGGCAACAGCCCAGCAAGAAATCAGTGCTTTCCAAAGATTCGTATTATACAGTTTATGTTAGCATTTTAATATCAGATTATGGCCATCTGGAGAGAGTTCATCCCTTTATATGGTAGGAGACCTCATTATTTCTTCTGTTGATGACTTGTTTTTAGCTAAATGATACTGATCAGTCTTCGGAATGGTCTGATCCCACTTTTACTTTTATATGAAGTATGTTTTTAAAGCAAGGGACTTTTCTACCTAAACTTTTGGTTTCCTACCCTTTAGCTTAAATAAAACAAAAACCCACTCATCCAACAGTCTTTTCCGATTCAGTGAATGACACGATTTTTGCTAAGACTGAAAATCCAGGAGTCATCCTAGACCATTTTTTTCTTTTTCTAACCCACTGGGCTTATCCCCTAGCTCATTAATCACTGACAATGCCCTGTCAATTAGCAGGTTCTGGGGCTCACTTCAAAATATATTCTGAATCTGTCGGTTTCCACCACTTTTTTGTTAACACTAAGTTCTTGCCTTAATAATTGCAATAGCATCCCAACTGGTCTCATTACTCCACTGGACAGCAGGAGAGCACTTTGACTACCACCGAAATCATTAGCCCCCAGACTTGAAATTAAAGCCAATCTGTAGCATGTCCTCAGTGTCCTACCTGTTCGGCCTCCACTAGACTCTTCCCCTTTACCTTTTGCTGCCTGCCCCTCTCAACCCTGCCATGAGGCCCAGGCTTTCTTGTTGTCACTGGAACATGCCAGGCTTATTTCCATCCTAATGGTTGTTCATTTTGCTTTTCTCTCTTCTCATGGACCTCCACAATGTCACTGCTGTCATTTCACAGCTGTCTGTCATCTCTTCCAAGAGGCTTCTTTGAAATAGCAACCCTGCCTCAGTCCCTTCCTATCCCATTTCTCTGTTTTTGCTTCTTAATAAGAAATTAAACTCTTTATTTCCTCACATTATTTCTTTGCATGTTAATGTGTTTAATGCTTGTCACCTCTACTAAAATGAGATCAGGGTTGCGATATGCCTTGTTGAACATTGTAACCCTGGATCCTCGATTGGTAGGTGATCACTAAGTATATTTAGAGTGATTTTCCAGAATGACCCAGTTCAGGATGTGTGCTAGTTTTATAATAAGTAGACCAGGGGTGGTGACTGCTATAGGCAATATACCAGATGTATGGACATCATAAACTTATGCCTCATTGTCCATTCAGAGTTTGTTTAAAAAATCCCAAAATATTATATTTCAGATAATTCAGACTAGAACAGAATTAGTATTTTATGAGAGAGGGCCAATTTAGTCCATTAACTATTTTAGGAAACTTAATTTTTCCTTAACAATCTGTTTTTTTTTAATTTAGTTTATTAGATCTATAATTGTGTTTACATTAACTTCAGGGGTTTGAGAGATGGGAAGCAAGTCATCTGCTTAGTTTCTATGCCATTATATATCACTCTAGGACATTACTTAATTGCTGTAATAAAATTTATTTGTGCACTGACCTTTTTATCCCTCCAAATGTTTGTGCGTGACCTAAAATTTTTCCAAAGTCAATATGAAACATGTGGCCTGACTTTGTCAGCATGATGTTGTCGTTGTGACGGTCACAGACTCCCAGGATGAATGTGACCACACACCAGCCAGCACAGGAATAGAAAAAGTTCCTCAGGGCCTAATCAGTTAAAAAACAAAAACACAAAAATAACACATGTAAAAATAAGCAAATACATTTACATCAGAGCTAATGGTAAGTGGTATGATGAAAGCAAAATCACATAATCAAGAATCACTTCTACATTTCAGCTGACAGAAGGGTATGATTAAATAATGGGCTCTTGAAATGCTACAGAAGAACATGTTCTTTAGCCTAATAAATAAATGTTTTCATTGAAATTGGAGAAAATATCTCTTTCATTTAGTTGGAGCTAATTTTCAGAGTTTCTAGAGAGAGTTCCTGGTATACTTTTTTTGATGTCTCAAATATACAGTATTGAATGATTTTTTTCAAGGTAAAAGAATGAACAATATGGCCTAATAATGCCTAGTCCCAAAGAAATGTAAAATATGAACTTTTTAATATTTGAATTTTTAACACAGAAAAAGCTATGTTGAGACATCTGTAATATTTTATGTTTGTCCTTGCAAATAAGACATTCAGTTGATGTCTGAGTGTTTGGTACAGTATATATCAATGAATGTATAGGCAGAAACAGGTTAATGTTAAGTCAATTGTGGCTTATGTCTACCAGGCCAAAATGAAAGAAAGTGAGTTGCTAAAATTACCCTATGTTTTCCAAATGTTCCCTTGGGTATGCATTATTTTCATCCATGATGTAACCATGAGTAACCCTGGTGTAGCCATGGGTGTTGGTTGGGTCATGGTTCTGAGTTTCCCTGAGCAGTGGGGTTGGCAGGTTGACTGGGAGTCTATGTCGCTGGACTACATGCTGAGACACTTTAGTTCCAGGTGTCCTAAGTGTCTGCAAAAGTCACTTAATGTGCCAGTCTAGATATTCTTCACTTATGAAGTGAAGATAAAATGTGTTCTTCACATTGTGGCTGTCAAGAGCAAATGCATGTGGAAATACCTAAAACAATATAACCCCAGAGATCTGTGCAAAATGCAAGTTACAGTTTGGGCAAAGCCCAAAACTAGATTTTAAGATAACCGCTAACTCTTTGTACTTCTCCTCCCAAAGCCTCTATGAGTAATGAGATACAAAAAAATTTAAAGTCTATTATGCATTTCACAAACATTGAAAGAATAAGGCGTGAAAAAGCAGAGCTTGGCAGAAGACACATGTTGCAAATGAAAGAAGGAGGGAGATTTATAGAAATTTGAGATTGTGTACAAATAGGCAGGGGTAACTTGAAAGGAGCAGTTCAGGGAGTACTTTAGGTGAGATAAGGGAGGCCAGTGAGCAAAGAGAGTCTTTATTAATAGCCCAGAATTTCACCCTGAAGGAAAACCAAACAGAGAAATTTATGTCTAGTTAATATATCATTTAAACTGGGTCATTGGTACCAGGCTGGTGACTCAGTGAATTAGAACTCGAGGATTTATTTTTTCATAAATCACTGTTGGTGGGAGTGCAGACTGGTACAACCATTATGGAAAACAGTATGGATTTTTCTCAGAAAAATAAAAATCGACCTGCCTTTTGACCCAGCAATTCCACTGCTGAGATTATATCCTAAGAATCCTAAAACATCAATATCAAAGAACCTATGCACCACAATGTTCATAGCAGCACAATTTACAATAGCCAAGAGTTGGAAGCAACCTAGGTGCCCATCAGTAAATGAATGGATCCAAAAATTGTGGTACATATACACAATGGAATTCTATGCTGCAGAGAGAAAGAAGGAGCTACTACCCTTTGCAACAACATGGATGGAACTGGAAAGCATTATGCTGAGTGAAATAGGCCAGGTGCTGAAAGACAAATACCATATGATCTCACCTTTAACAGGAAGCTAAACAACAAAACAAACAAGCAAGCAGAAAAAAAAAAACAAAAACAAAAAAACAAAAAAACAAAGACACTGAAATAGAGAACAAGGGGATAGTGACCAGAGGGGAGAAGGAAGGGAAGTTAAGGGGAAAAGGGGGGAGGGATTTGGAGGAACAAATAGGAAGGACACAGGGACAAGAACTAAGGGGGGGTGGAAATGGGAGGGAGGTGGGGAGCAAGGGGTGGGGGAGGCTGGGATGGGAAAAATAGACAAAAAACTGTACTTGAAAAATAACTAAATAAAATTAAAAAAAAAAAGAATATGAGCTAGAGTATATTCTTATTTAAGTACATTAAATAAAATTAGCTCCAGCAGGACAAACCTTTTCATAATCCGCCTTTAAGTGGTTGTGCTGGCTGAACCACTTTTTGATGGTATTTTCCTTCAGCGGTCCCATCAGCCCAGAGCAGCGATGGATCTTTGCTAGGGTTACAGCATCAGGCACCATCTGTACCAATCCTGATTGACGAAAAAGAGACTATGGAAATAATGCTTTCTGCACAGAATGAGGGATGCTGAGGAAATACATCTTTATCTAGGTAACAACAGCTGTCAGCACGGTTTGGATTATCCTTTTCCTTCCCATATCTTCTCTGAAGGAGCCTTACTTCTAGCCTCTCTTCTAATTTTCCCTAAATCCTGGGGAGCAATGGGACTATTTGTTGTGTTCGGATCAGATATGTGAGAAACAGCTTTAATGTTTTTTTCTGGAACTGGAGTGGAGAGCCAGTTTAGACGCCTCACGGAGACCAACCACACTGCAGCAACAGAGCGGTGGGCTAGTGGGGGCCTGTGGTCTCGCTCACAGTTTAAGGGAGGACCTTCGAACTGGTGTGATGGCCTTGGTGAGCAGACCAAATGCAGTCCCCACAACAAATACTTATATTGTATAAGGCAATTTTCAGGTTAATAAAAACTTCGTCGTTACATGTTCATTTTCTAGGAGTGAACACAATAACTGCAGTAAACGTGGAGAGAGTGATCTGCCCCTTCCTTCTCAGTCAACATGAAAGAGAAACTACGATAATAATGTTTTCAAAGGGAGCATGCATATATTGATTGAACTTCAACAGGACCTTTGCCCCACTGGCCATGTGTCCATCAAGGCTTCTTTTCATTGTGTTCATAAGATTATTGAAACGTAAATATTTTCAAACCTGCTGATTTATATTCTGCTCAGAATAATAGTTTAAACCCAGTATTTAATACTCTCCCAGGCCTGATGTCCACAAAACCACCTGTAATATATAGTTCTGTAAATAAAGTCCTTGAAAGAAGTATAGAGCTTCTGATTTCTACCATTTTGACAACTGCAAAGTTGCATGCTCCAATTCCGAAGGGACCAGAGGCACAAATGTAGAAGAGAGATTGTTAAGCTTTTAAAATCGAAGATTCCATTCAAATGAAACAACAACAAACAAGTAGATCACAGTGATAGTAAACAAAACACTTCTCTGTGCTGGTGTTGGCCAGCAGCAGCTGGCCAAAATCTCTCTTTGGCCTTGATCTCTCTTGATATCCCATAGCCCAGCTGTGACCATTAGGCATCTACTTTGCTGGATCAGAAAGAAACTAAAACATGGGGAGTGGGGACTGAATGTGCAAGTACAACCTATAAAACCTGTATGTTAAAAAAAAAAAAAGAAAAAGAAAGAGAACCAACACCCTGAAGAAAAATACTGGATCCCGGGCACATCCTTAGTGTCATAAGATTCTTGTTCCTTCTTCAGCCGTGTCTGGTCTTGTGTAGGTTTTTTCATGTGTATTAAGTGAGATAGCAAATATAAAACATTACATTTAGTAGTAATGGGATTACTCTAGAAAGAGGTGATCCTTCTTTCTAATCCTGAAAAATTCCCTCCTCATTTTTCCAGTTCCTTCACGTAGCAGGAAAATTACCTCTCCATGGTTCCCAAGTGTCACCGCAGCCTCACCTCTGACCATGCCCCAAATGAGGACTCGGACCTGCACCCTTTGGATGCTCCGCTATAGCAGGATCAGTTACTTTTCAGACCACATTTGTCTTCATGAAGTTAATCTTTGCTAAATCTCAAGTCATTTATCTTAAGCCTTGCATTGCTGACTACTCAGAAAAGCTTGTACTTAATTTGTAACAATCATGATGGCTAAATTCTGCCCATTAGTTAAAATCACAAATTTCATTTTATACATTTTAATCCAGTATGTATCATTCACCTTTTAAACACTTCTAACACAATGCTGTGTGAATTGAGTGATATATATGTGGTTCCATTCTTATAGTCTTTTAATGCAACATTTCTCAAATTTTAATGCACTTATTTATCACTTGGGAATCTTGTGAAAACGGAGGTTCTGATTCACTAGGAAAGGGGCGGGGCTTGAGTTTCTGCATTTCTAAAACATTCCCAGGTAATGTCTGTGCTGCGGGTCCATGGGTCGAACTTTAAGTTGCAAGGTTCTTAGGAACAAACTTTTCAAGGTGGTGTCATAAAAGGCAGGAGCTTTCGAAAAGGGGTGCATAAGAACATCAGAGCCGCTTCTCCAGTCACCAAGACTTGAGCACCCCACCTCCACCCACCCCCCCAGGAGAGCCTGACTTAGTACCCTGGTTGGGGCTTGTTATGTCTACTCCCCCCAATTCCCCTGAGTAATTTTTATGCCAATGAAATTTGGAGAACCAGAAATAAAATAAATTAGAAAAAAATTTTAATTTGCTCTGATAAGTCTTTTCCAAAGCTCCGGGGACATTATATACCAATTAATCATAAGAATTCTAATCAACAATAATGTTGCTAAAGTCATGTAAACTTCTGGCCTGGAGTATACTTTCCCTTAAGGGCCACAACTCTGCCTAGTGCATTTTAGTATTCCCTCCCTTACTGTGTGATGTTGCTTGAGAAGAGTAAGATATTCATTAAGCCTTGGAACCTGATTAAAAATGCAACCTAAAAATGACATTTGCTTTAATGATCTCTATTTTTCTTGAAGAAATACTTTGCTAGTATAATGCAATCTGAAATTGTACAACTACAGAAGGTTGTTGGTCGATGGGGGAAGAGAAACTTGTTTGATTTATGATATCTGCAACTTTGGGCAAGTCTACTGCCATTTTTGCTGAATCATTAACTTCAAAGGATGTAGCCTGGGTTACTTTCTATCATTATAAACTGAGAAATGAGTGGGTGGAACTGAAGAATTCCACTGAGGTCAGTGATGTATGTACTCAGCTTCTGAAGAAAGGATGATCCATGTGATGTCATAAAGCTCAGCTTGGATCATCTAGTTTTTTTCTTGCACTTTCAACATATGAGACTATGAAAGAATCAGGTCACATGAGAACAGGCAGAGTAAAACTGAAGGAATAACTGTTTCAGAGTAGCAATGATAGAAGACTTAAGAGTTCAGGGGTGGGACACATGGCCTGGAAACAAAAGCCCAATGATAGGAATCACAATAATTGAGTAGTATAACAAGAGAGTCATACTGAACTTCAAGTTGCAAGTTACATTAACTAGGAGGTGCTTCCATGCTTATGTTCTAAATCTTAGATCTCAGTTGGCTGGGGTACTGAGACTAATGGTGGGATGTCAGGAACTGGAGGGGCAGGCTTTCTTTTGCGATGATGGGTTTACACTGAAGCTCTGCTGGAAAGAAAAAAAATGACTACATGGGTCTAGGTCCCTTTTCTATTTCTATGATTCTTTTTTATCTTTTTGTTTATGCAGAAGTATCTGCTGTAATTTATACCAATTACTTTAATGAAATTCTAAGTGGCAATGACCACATGTAAAAAGATGATAAGATATCTTTGTAATTATTTATTCAATTTAGCATGATTGTAATTAAATACAATTTTACCTTTTACCTCTGATGTCTTGGTAATAATTTGAGTAGACACTGACATTATTTTCATTTGTAATGTGTATAAATGTAACTGTATTTCCATAACAATGTGCTAGATTTTATAAAGGAAAAGAAATGTGGAACTCTGTTCATAGTTTGTATGATCACCCTTGACTATTGATATTAATACTTTACTCAGAAGTCTTTTAGAAATTAAGTGGGGACTTACAATGCATTTACAGTGTTTAGAACTTTTTAAGCATTTGCAACTTTGAAAATTTTGTGTCAACAAGCAACAATTGTGTTTTTTTGAATGAGTTGACTCTTCCATCATTGCCTTGAAAAAAAAAGTAGGAGTTAGCTATTTATTAACTAATTCTTAATGACACATACAAGAATGTCACAGCTAACATTTGGGTTGTCAAGGTTTTAATTAGTACTGAAAAAGACATTGTGCTTTTTGTAGATTATTTTGGACTATTGTTTCTGAAAATAATTTTTTAAAAAGAAGAATGACTATGCATAATTCTTTGGATTTTACAATTTATAGTCTAAAATGGGTGCTGTGGAGAATTTGATGGCATTTTACCAGTGAATGTATAAGATGCATAATGTAAGTCAGCCCTCTATCTAATCTATACTGACCTTGGCCTTTTCCTGTGGATAGGCATCTATAAATGATCATTTGCATATCCAGGCCCTCCTGCAGCCAAATATTGTCCATCATTTGAACAATCTGCAGAACAAGCATATCCTGACGAAGATCATCTCCAGCCTGTTAAAAACAAAATTATACACTCTGAGTTTCTTTTTGAATTCCATTAAAAGTTTTCAAATTAGGTATATGTCATTTCTTCCCTTGAATAAATTTTCAGCCTGGCTTAAGAGTGGTTTCAATGGTTCTATTAGCATTCATAGGACCTTGTGTTTCTCATAGAAGATCAAAGAAAATAAGAACTTTCTCCTACGTAATTCTAGAAGCTCCAGCCATCAAATTAGAAGCTGCATGGAATGTTGTTCTCTGATAATAACCTTTCAATTTAATATCTATGTGAAGTGCCTTAGACTCAATGTTTAGTAAAGAGAGCTTGAATGAATGTTCATCCAAATTTCAAACTTGGCCAAGAGAGAGTTAAGAGAAACATTATTTGGTGCTCCATAAATTTATGCACTGACATACATCTAGAATAGCCAGAGCTTCTTGACTATGAGGACAAATAGCCCACATATGATTCATCAGACATCGAATCATTGACTTGTATATGAAGGCAGTTGAAAAGTTTTCAAATATCAGAGTAAATGGTCTTTGATAAAAATAAGAAATAATAAAGGGGAGATTTCCTAGTGTTGGTGAAAAAAATGGAATATATCCAAAGGGAAAGAATAGTTCTATGCTTTTAAGCTAGTAAGAATTTTTATTTTGCAAATGTTTTCTTTTTTTTGAAGCCAAAACACTAATTTGAAAGACTATAAGCACCCCTATGTTCATTGTAGCTAAGACATGGAAGCAGCCCAAGTGTCCATCAGCAGATGAGTGGATAAAACAACTATGGGACATTTACACAATGGAATTCTACTTGGCCACAAAAAAGGAGAAAATGTTACCCTTTGCAACAGTATGGGTGGAGAACGTTTTGCTAAGTGAAATAAGCCAGTCAGAGAAAGATAAATACCATATGATTTCACTCCTATGTGGAATCTAATGGACAAACTTAACTAAAAAGGAAAACAGGCACAGACTCATATGGGAAGCAGGTTGACAGCTAGTGGTGGTGGGGGGAGGTTAAGGGGTAGAGGGATTGAGCAAAAAGGAAAAAGGATTCATAGACATGGACAACAGTGGGGTGATTACAGGGGAGGAGGGAGTTATAAGGGAGTTATAAATGGTAATGGAAAAAATCCAGTAAAATTAAAAAAAAATGCTCTCTATATGCAGAAAATTATGCCATAATGAAATTCCATGTTGTTTGCTTTCTTCAGTAAATATCAGAATTGTTGGACCATTACTGTTTGAGGTTACACGTTTCAAAAAAATGTATGGGTGTACTAATCATTATCTCAAAAACAATCAGAATCCACCAAAAGTATCACTCTGAGACCTTGTTGTCTGGTTTGACTGAATAATTGATTAGACTAGCTGGATGATGGGAAAATCCTTACTTTTTTTTTACAGTTTTTGCTTGAGTCTCTTTTTCTTACCTGTGTATAACCCTTTACTCTGTTTTCTCATGGAATGCGTGATAAAGACTGATATGGCCCATATTTATGTTTTATTTTTTAAAAAGAGAACAATCCAAATTGCTAAACTCAGCAAGTGCTTGCAGATAAGAATTTTATGTTAAATTAACATATTGTTTGAGTAACAAGTAATTTGATTTTAATTTATTATTGAGGCCAAAAGAAACCTCTCTACATAGGGGCTCAACACACATTCCATTTTCTTTGCTACACAAAAGTGATTGTATAATTTTGTTTGTTGAAACATTTTCTCAAGTTTTGCACTGAAGGTTCACTGGCTTAAAGCCAGTAATGTTTGATTTATTGCCAATCACAATTTGGCATCTACCATAATTCTTTAAAAATGCAAAATCAAAAATAACTGGAATCCTCTGTGTTGCTGCCGGCAGAAAATAGCAACAGGAATGTTTTTGTGAGTAATCAATCAAGTATTTCTACCAATGTAATCAGTTTCATGCTTCAGGAGTTATTGTACCTTAAAAATGATGCTGATATTTTTGCCCATTGGATTAGCATTGATGAAAGTAATCTTCAATGGCACAGCATTAGATGTGAAATATGAACATGCCTATAAGAGGAGAAAAGAAAAATGGTGAGCAAAATAAAGCAAAAAGAACAATTTTAAGGAAATTATGGCCCCTCGCAGAATTTGTTGTTTGAGCAAATATAACACATATGAATAATTTTTATACTTCGGAACAAAGACAATTACTTATTTAAGAAAAACAACAACTTTAGTCTTACCAACCATAGCTTTACTTGGAAACTGCGAGGCCAGCTTTTTGGCAGGTCATAAATTTCCAACTACATGTTTTTCCTCCCTGAACAGTGGTGATATGCCGGGGACTTAAATAAACTGAGTGGAATGTAAGTGTTGTGCTCAGGCTAGCTGGTTAATAGCAAAAAGATAAAACTGTTATTTAAAAATATTTTTTCCTTTTAATGATTTCTGCTGTGCAGCATACTAAAGAAACATGGATATAGATAGAAGTAAAAAAGCCCTAAATGAGTTCAAGTTTGGACTCTTCGACTCATTAGCTCTAAGACCTCGGGCCAGTTTCTGACATGTTTGTATCCCACTGTCAAATGGGAAGAATAATCACTACTGTACCCATTTCTGCAACAGATACATGAGCCCGACACTAATTAGGCAGTTCAAAAAAATCAACCCATTCTTTTTTCCCTTTTTATTAATGAATATTTTCTTACCTTTACAAATATGAGTACAACATATATTTTGCCTTTTTATTTCTTAAATTATACTTTGAATTTCCATTTTCAGCTTTACACTATTGATTACTTTCTATTATACTGTCCTTATAGCTTATTTTCATTTTATGATTTTACAATCATTTGAGTATTAAAAGGCTATACTTTCTCTGGCTATTAGCAATTCATGTTGACAGTGAAGAGTACAGTCAATACTAGAAAAAGGAAAAGAACTTGATACTTTCAATTTATCAACTTAATATATGACATCAATACATGTTGAAGAATCAGTTTGAATATCATTATTTCTGAGATGTCTGAAGTCAGTAGAAGCTGAGAAAAAAGGATCTATTTTTTAACTTAACCTATCAACATAAATCTCACTGAATCTTGTAGCAAACAGACACTCTTGTTTACTGAATCAGTCTGAGCTTTTATAGTAAATGGGTGAGGCTGTTTGGTCGGTAATGAATTCTTGCTGTAAGAATAAGTCAATCAGGGAACACATGACCTTCTGTCATGATACTGCATTTGAAAACCTTTACTAGGGCAGGCATGAGCCTAGGTGAGTGGCTTTTAAATAATACTCATTCTATTCTTGGGGGTCCCTATGAGGCATCCCAAGACTGGGGAAGAGACAAAAGGCAAAAGAAAGGCTAAAGGCAGGGCTTAGCCCCTTGTCTTAATTATATCACTCAGAGTTATTTTGCTTTCACTGTTTCATATTTTGGTTTTCACGTGCAGTCATGTCAAAAATGCTATGCATTCAACTATTCTGCACAAATCCTTATCTATATGCTAACAGAAAGAGACACCATAGTCACTCTCAAAGAGTTTACGAAAAGTTTGTATGAAGGCACACTCATATGCATTAAGTGGAAAATAATTTACAGGGCCATTTATCAGTTAAATGAAGAAGCATCTGAAGAAGAGGCCTTCACGGGTACATAGGGGTTGGCAGATTCTGAGAGATATAAGTTAGCAAGCAGGTAAAAGAAAAGTTTTTCTAGGTAGAAAAAGTCAAACAAGGAGAGATTCAAGTAGAAATTGAAAGTAAATTGGGAGGGCTATAAACAAGAAGTAGGAAAGAGTGAATCAGAGTCTTGGAGAATGAATTTATGCAGATGGTGACATAGAAGAACTAGAAGAGAGAAACAAAGATTCAACCTATGATCTTGAGAAGTACACATTAATCAAGTAGAGTTAAAGTAATTTTTTAAAGGAAAAGAAATCTATTAATAAAAAATGTGTGGTTTTTACTTTCCCAAAAGTAGAGAAAGGTTGCATTAAGTTTTCTCCATTTATCCACATGATCCCTCCCTTAGCCATCCTAAAGGAAAGAGGAAATTGTTCCTTATAATTAGTAGCTCCAAGAACAGACAAAGGTGAGGATTCCTACAAAGAGAGCTTCACTCAAACACAAGACCTTTGCTCTCCATCCTGGAGAGCCATTCTTGAAGAAATGGACTGAGCCACACCCAAGTGCTTTTCTCCAGTGTAGCTCACTGAGGCGGATTAAATAACACTGCTGACTGTAAGCTTTCCCACATTAAGTGCATTCATAAGGCTTCTTTCCGGTGTGAACTATCTGATGCTTGATAAGCTGTGAACTTTCACTAATGACTTTCCCACGGTTGAAGAATTTATCAGGATCTGACGTATCATCAAGTTGCTGCTATAACCAAAGATCTTCCCTTACATGTACATTCATAGGATTTCTCACCAGTGTGAATTCCCTCACATACAATGGAGTGTGGGTCTTGAGTACGTATCATCCACATTTATAGAGGTTTTTGCTTGTGTGAAGTCTGTGATATAAAATAAGACATTTACCCAAACAGAATGTCTTGCCAGACTGCATTCAAAATGTTTTTCTCTGCTACAAATTTGTGCAGTGAACAGTGTGAGAGTTCGGATGGGAGGTTTGACAGCACTGCCTCCATTTGTGAGCTTGTTCCCCAGTATGGAGGCTCTGATGCCAAATAAGACACTTATTCTCACTGAGGCCCTTACTATGTTCACTAAATTCATAAGCTTCTTCCCAGTGTGGATTCTCTGATGGTTGAGCAGGTTTCCATCAGTTGAAAAAGCTTCCCCACAGTCATTTCAGCTGTAAGATGTCTTACCTGTGGAGTGCCTGATGTTGGAAGAGACTTACTCTGAGTAACGTTCTCCCACACTCATGCCATTCAGAAGGACTTGCCCCACTATGGGCTATCCGATAGTCAGTGGGTAGGGGGCTTGGGGCAAAGGCTTTTACACATTCATCACATTTATGAGGTTTTTCCCAGTTACGGAGTCTCTGGTGTTTAGTGAGATGGCAGCAGGGATGACAAGTTTTCCCACACTCTCTGCATTCATGTGTCTTGTTCTCTCTCAGAGGACTCTCAGATGAACCACTGGCTGACAGGTCTGTTTGAAGGTCTTATCATACTCATTATACTCGTAGAGGCTCTTTACAGTATAGGTCCTCTGGTGGCCAACCAGATGTGGGCTCTGATTGTTAACTTTGCCACACTTATTGCATTTTCAGATGTGATGGATATCTCTTCAGGCTTCCTTGTTGTTCAGAAGGACAGGAGGACAGACTAAAATGTTCTGCAGGTGAGAGCATCAGCTGCCATGCGTGTCCTGCACAGGTACGGCGGCCTTGTACTACGAACAGCTGGTCAGAGACGATGGGGTCAAAAAGCGGCCTGACTTGGGCACTTTCCAGTCCCAGGGAAAGTACCGATGCCTGTAGGTTGCTGCAGGAGAGTGTGGTGCCAATGGCAACACTAGGGGTGGTGACTTCTGCGTTGTGACCTTTGGTCTGGCAAGCTCACCTGGATACTCATAGCATTAAGTCTAGCACTCTGCATTCCAAAATGCACAAAACAAAATTCTTATGTAGTTTTAATAGAAAAAAATTGTTTATTTAACCAACAACAACAAACCAAGAGAGCAGAAACAAGAGAAAACCAACATCTGGATTCAATGATTCATATTGTTCTTATTACTTTGAGATACTGTGTCTTTGAAATGCTATTTCCATGTATCTTCAGCATTAATCAGATTCACTGCTAACAATGAAAAAGTTACACAATTAAAAAAAATTAGTGATGATTTGGACTTTAATCCAAATAGACATACATAGTCAGTTAATGGAATTGATGCCATTTCTTTCAAAATGTGTTTATGCAGCATGTTAGGAAAGTTTATAGGGTGCCTTTGTAACAGCAGTTATAAAGGAGATAGTATTAAGTTTTTAGCAAAACTTTTGTGTTCTTCCTAGTAATAATTTATTTTTCTCCTAATTATGGATTTGTTTTCCTGATTGTCTTAAACTTTAGTTAAGTAACATTTTTTTGTGTGCATGCATGAGTTTAACCTCTTTACTTTTAAATTTCACTTATCAATCCTTCTCCCTATTTGTGGTTATACTTTTTGGCTTTTGAGAAGGAGAATAATAAGGCTCACGGAGAACAGAGAAAGGATGACTCTATGTCAAAGAAAAGGGGCTGGCAGAGGCTTAGGAAGAGAAGGGGTTTGACAGTGTGACATCACCAGGAAGGACTTTCCAGGCACTAGTAAAACCACAACCTATGTTATATAGCACATTGACACATGCGCACAAATGAATTTTAAATTGAATCAAAACGGGGAGGTTGTGGCTAATGATGTATTAGTGTACTAGATACAAGTATGCACATAATTGAAATAAGCATGAAATTCAACTCAGCCTGCTTGGAATCACTAAGTCAACCATTTTGAATAAATCATGAATCAATTCAGTGAGAAGTATCTTTACTTTTTTTCCACTGAACTGTTGTGTAGTTTGTTTCTAAACCAACAAATCATCTGACGAGGTTAATGTGATCCCAACTGGCCATAGTGCATCAAACTAAAGAAAAATTACTTTTTTCTTTAAAAAATTGCAAATAAGATTTTATAAATTGTTTTTCCCATTTCAAAAACATAGTGAACTAAACAATACAGAACCAAAATACTCAACTTATCTACTGAATGAATTGACTTACATCGCAATCAATCCCCTTTATACAGAGGGCAGGGTTCAGAGGAAGATGACAGGTATTTATATACTGAAAGAATTCTTCTAGTCTGCCAATCTCTTTCTTCAGTACCTCCTGTGATAAATCATAAGAAAAAGCATTTTAGAAACTGCAAAGAACTTGACTATTTCTTCAAGTTATAATTTTCTTGCATGGATTAAATAAACTCTTTAAATCAAGGGTTGCACACTTGGATGCTTTAGGTCAGGTAGGTTATGTAGCCGCATTTGAGAAGGCAGCAGGCGAAAGACAACAGGGAGTGTTGGGAAAAATGGAGAATTAATTAGTGCATGACCTCTCTAAATGACTTTAAATTCAATTAAAGGTAAAACCAAAACAAAGCACTCTTCTGTTCAAATGAAACTTGATGGGTTGGACTTGAACTGTGGCCCACCAACTTCCAGCCCTGGCTGTAAGTAATTACTAACATGATTCAGTTTTGATAATTTCCTAAAGTCTTAGTTTGTAATTCTCAAGATTTATGCTTAGGAGTAACAGTACATTTCAGAAAAAGTTCACATATATTGTGAGCAATAGTAACAAAAATGATTTTGCAGACAATTGGCAACTGTCAGAAACAGCAGTATGTATAAATAGTTTACTAAATGTCAACGAGTGTATTTCTGATTCTTGACTTTCTTCCACAGTCCTCTTCCCATAGAATCTGTGGAAAGTCTGAGACCACAACAACACCTTCAGAATCGGGCATCCCCTGACAAAAGGAGGGGGACAACAATAATTCAAAACAAAGTAGCAATAATAATTCGAAAATAAGAAAGCTCATTTTAGCCCACTGTTGAAAGCTCTTTAAGCACAATTCTAAAAATGAGAATGTCACATTAATAACTCTCACTTAACTCTGAAGAGTACTTAGCTCTTCCTAAGTACCATCTACTGCTCCCAGAATGCGGAAGAGCAAGGTGGAGAAATGAGGCAAAATCCCCTTATTGCACTCTTTCTGTCCTTTGTCTTATCTATGCTTGGATTTGCCTGAAGAATGACATGGGGGAAAATCTCCATTTAATTAAAATTTCTTTATTTCATACAGTAAAGGCTTAATGTGTGTGTTTTTAAAAATAAAACATAAACAGTAACTTACATTGGGAAAAATCATCAATGCTTTCCCCACCTCTTTCTTTTTCTCTTCCTATTGTCATGTAAAGAGGTGTTGTCACAAAATCAGCCAGTCATGATAAAATAAATACATATATTCAAGAGAATAATGTTAATATCACTTGAAGCATGATGCAAATGGTCAAAGGGGCATCAAAGTTATTTAAATATCATGTATAACCTAAATATTGAGGCATTTTAAAACATAATAATGTCCTAACCTATACACAAATTTTGTAAAGTTTAAACCAATTTATTTTACTTACTTCAACTTTTTGTCTATCTTGAAAATAATGAGTTTGCTGTAATGGGATCAATCTCTTTTTTTCATTGCCCCTAATGTTATATGCCTTAAGGCTTCTCAGTGCGACCAACGTTTATATGTCTCCCGTCTAAAAATAATTTCTATCTCCTAAGTAGATAAAGTTTTATAGCTTCTGTTATTTCTACTGAATTAGGTGAATTACAGCAGGAGAAATCTTGGGCTGGGAAAGGATTCTGGAACACTTTAACTACTTCTATTTTCCTATCATTTTGTTGAAAACTCTTGTTGATTTTAAACAGTGGGTGGAGTGAAACTATGAGCTTCCTTGAGGACAAGACTCATGTTTTAGTCATCTTTCTATCCATAATTCCTAGTCTGCAGTAAGTACTTAATTATTATTGAATGATGTTCTTTCAATGAATGGATGTTCACTTTCTCCCTGCAACTGGAATGTTGAACTTAAGAGAATCTACTGAATGGTCTATGTCACTGAAGGGTCTATGTCCCTGAGGTCTATGTCAGTGATGCAGATCATTAAAAAGAGCAGGTGTTTTTTTCATTAAATCCAGAAGAAGAATAGCCAAGTCCATTATTATTATTATAATTAGTGATCAAAGAAGCACACTACTTTGACTATCCTGGATCTTAAAAAAATATTGCATTCCACACCTCTATTAATTTCTCAATTAATTTTATTTGTTTTGGCAAAAGTCTTGAAAAATGTGACCTTGATTAGTGCAATGTTAGAAAAATCTAGGCCTAGATTTTGTACCCTGGACAAGGGTCCCCTAAAAAATTCCCTCATGTGCTTTTGCTACAGGTCTGAGTGGTGCTGCCATTTTGAGGAAATGACATCATCTGCAAATTTTTATCGAACCACTTTTGCGTTACATTGGCCTCTTTTGTCAGATACTGTCTGTCTGGTATGTGGCTACTTAGATCAAAAAGCCATGTCCTGGTGACAGAAGTTATTGTTAACTTCAGGATAGTAAAATGAAAAGAAAAAAACTTGATTAACTAATTGAGTTGTGCCTTATATCCAAGCAAAGGAGTTTGCTTTCTAAGCTATGAAATTAAAACTTAATTGAACCCAAGATAAAAAACAAAATACTTCACTTCACGAAGATTGATTTCTCAACAAACCTGTCTCTGAGGGTCACTAGCCAACTTGACTTTTTCCCCAATGTCTCCCAGAATTTTGATAAGTTCCATCTCCTTGGAAAACTCATCACTCAAGGCTTTCCCTGCACAGAATTGGAGAGCAGCCAACAGCTTCTGATACCAGCTTTTAAAATAAGCTTCATTCTGTGCATCCTTTAGCAGCCTGAAGGAAGGAGAGAAAAAGAATTCTTGTATATACAGCTGATTTTTTAACCTCTTCCACCAAGAAAAATAAGTGCATTGCAGACTAATCTGTATCTGGCGCCTTTGGGCAGTTTAAGAGCCTAGAAAGGAAGAAATGTTGTTTGCTGGCGGTCGTCAAGTTCCATCTGATCGCTAATGAGATTACTAAAGTGAGGAATCAATAAGAGACCTGCACTTTCTCATTTCAGTTCACACCACACTTTTTCTTCTTCCAGGCTTCTTAATCATATAACAAATACTTATCTTAACAGCATATTTTTGACTTCTTAAAATATGAACAAAGAATTTTAGAAATAGTATTTATAAGTGACTGTAATGCATTGTGACTCAATCATCAACCCCTGCCCTTTTCTGCTTTTCTTCAAAAGATAATGTCGCTTCCATCACCATTACCCCCCCCTTTAGCCTCTTCTGCCCCCCGCCACTCCCTTTCCTGGTGGTAATTACCATACTATTGTCTGTGTCTATAATTTTTTCTTCTTTGGTCAATCCCTTCACCTTTTTCACCCAGTCCCCCAACCTCCCTCCCCACCATGACAGCTGACCATCTGTTCTCTGTATCTGCAGGTCTGTTTCTATTTTTTTTGTTACTTTATTTTGATTTGGGGTGGTGAGCACACAATGCTGTATACAGATGATGCATTATAGAAGTGTATATTTGAGACCCATGTAATTTTATTAACCAATGTTGCTCCAATAAATTCAATAAAAATTTTAAAATATTACATGGCACTAAATAAAAATAATTTTAGCCCTGGCTGGTGTAGCTCAGTGGATTGAGCATGGGCCTGCAAACCAAAGGATTTGGTTTGATTCCCAGTCAGGGCACGTACCTGGATTGCAGGGCAATTCTCAGCAGGGGACACATGAGGGGCAACCATACATTGATATTTCTCTCCCTCTCTCCTTCCCTTCCCCTCTAAAGATAAATAAATAAAAATCTTTAAAAAATAATTTTAAAATAAAAAATGATGTTTCCATAGTGTCATTTATCTCTATATTGCTCTTTCTGCCAGCACCTCCCACTGATTACCCAGAGGAAGATATTGTAAAGGCAAAATCATGGTTTTTATTTTCTTTCATTTCTGGCTTCAAGTCCCAGCCCTACAACATAAAGGTGACATAGGCCAGTTACTTAACAAGGCTGTAAAATAAAGCAATAACTTTGACTCTACAAAGCTGCATAGAACATAGATTGAGCTGATGCATTTGAAAGGCTCTACACAATGCACAACTATTCAGTCAAAACACATGAACTCATCTGTATCTCGCGGCCTCCCCAAGCCGGCCTCTGATACCGCCTGGTATTCAGCTCACATCACAGGCCTGGGAGGCACAGAACATCCAAAAATTTAAGAACACTTTACTAGATAATGGAGCAGTGACAAATATTTGAATGCTCTGTCTTTCAAGTGACAATGTCTATTGCCTTGAAGTTAATTTCTGTGTGCTTAAACTTTACTTGCTTCCATGCTGTAAAACATTAAAATAAAATAAAATAACTAATTCCTTTTAATATTAACTTCTCTGTGATTGATTCTTTTAATCTTAACTGGTCTCTAGTCTTCTGCTCCCCTGAAAAATATTAGCATTCAAGAAACTAGAATAAAATTGTTGTGAGAATGAAATATGAAAATAGAAAGGATTAAATGCATAGCAGCCAAAGAAAATGTAGATGAGTTTCATTCTGAAGTTTTAATTTTGTATCCTTGTTCAACACATATTATGTTACAGGTTCTAACAAATACACAAGTTTATTTTTGTTCTGTGTTTTCTGTTCCTACACATATAAGTTGAAAAAAAATTAATTGAATGGGTCTGCATTTTAGGGGGGAGGGTAAGGTTTGCTTTCTTGTCATTGTTATGAAGCCAACTTATCTTTTAGCACCTCTTTTACTTTCTCAAAAGAAATATAAACTTTGAGTGGAATAATACTTCTTATTTAGTTCTGGAAAGCATTAAAAAAATTCAAGGGACTCACAATGTATTTTTAATCTAAGAATGATAGCAAACAATACAAAGCTAATCTGCCCACTCCTTCAGTGAGATTTGCAACATCACACATATAATAAGTGAGTCATGTCATTGTTTAGAGGCTCTAAGAAACTGAGCGTTGATTGAGCATGAACTGGAAAGCTGCAAATGCAAGCATGAATGTGTAAAACTTCATATGTCTTATGTAGAATTGCATACATCTCAGATTTTCATAGTGCTTTGAGGGCTTTCATAATATACCATTTTACAGTCTACTTGAGTTTCAGTGAGACAAGGAGTATTTCTATATCTCTAATCAATCATTGCCAGAATTTTTACACACTTTGAATTTTTAACCTGTTCTAGTAAATACATGCATAACTGTATCACTATCTAACTGCTACATATATGCTAAAAAAGTTATTCTACACAGAAGTCAATGTTCTTACTAAAATCATTAAAGAAAAGATACATATTTAGGTTAGGATCATAGGAAATGTCAGAATTATATAATTTATGTTGATAATAATTCTTATTGTATTAGAAATATATTTGTTTCCTTCATGAGCAACTAATTCAATGAAGAAACACCCAGTTTGATTTTTTGCTCACAATAAAGCAGAGCATGGAGATTTGCAGGGAGAATATATGACTGTGTTCTAAAAAATAGAAAAGTGAAAAAAAAAACAAGTGTATCCCATTGTAATTATTTTTCTAGTAGAATATGCCTCATTCAAACACTGCATCCCTGCAAGATGACATGTTTCCGTGGTGAGATCTGGTTCAAGCTCTGTGGCTTTTTACTCAGCTTCATGAAGAGTCTTGCTCTTACAAATTGTGGAATTGAAATGATAGAGTTGTGAATCCAATATGAGAAGCACAGTCACTTTTACTGGCAAGAGAAATTAACATATCCTTTAATTTTAAGCAGCTTCATTGAAAGTTGAAAGTTTTGGGTGGGTGGTCATTCAGTTCCGTATCAATTACCATCACAATAGGAAGTGGTAAACACCTCAGGACATAATTTTTACCCACTGCCTCTGTATAAGACTGTAGAAAACAGCTGGCCATTCTCCCTGCTCATTACGAATGTTCTTTTCAAAATATGTTGTCACCTGGGAGAAACAGTATTGCTCATACAAAGTAAATTTTTTTAAATTAAGGTCAAGGGACTGAGAAGTATCGAGTAAGATTTGGTGTTGAATAATTGGGCTTTTAAGATGCAGGCAATGTTACTGTTTACGAACTGTGAACTAAATCTCTACAGCCCAGAGATCTATTTATCCTACTGTCTGCAAGACCCAGGGATGATTTGATACTATGTTTTGCATGTCACATAGAGATTATAATGACAATATTAAAATGAGGGTAAAGGCATAAAATCTAGCTGACTGAAAGTTTTGACAGTGTTAAGTATGAGGGACAGTAAGCAGAAAGAGAAGGAAGTGCGACTCAGCACATTTGTTACAGGATATCATGAAGGGATTTGCCTAAATTAAGGGTATAATGGTGGACTCAGGGAGACCTGAGAGTCACAAGCCTCAGCTAGCATGAAATAGAGATTTTTCTTGGAAATTTGAGCTTTTTCTCCATTTCTTCCTTGCCTCTGGTCCCATGGTCAGTGACGTGCTACAGCCACAGAAAAAGCATAGGTGGTTCTCACTTCATCAGTCTACCCGCAGGGCAGAGCTGAGCAATCACACCGTCTCAGCCATCCTTGCCCCATAACTCCCTTCAGTGTAAGCTTTAATTCTAGTTCTCAGCAGCACAATATCCCACATCTCAGGGACTGTCTTTCATTTTTACCTACTTATATATTTCCTGCTATTGAAGAGGGCTCACATCACCCAGGAGCAGAAGAAAAATGAACTGCACAAAAAGATGAGTAATTTCAGATCACTCCAGGGTCTCTCCTTCCTACTACCTGTGTTTTTTGCTACTTTATGTGGGGCAAGGTGTGTAGTTTGTAGAAAACTTTTTAAACACAGGTAGATTCTAAAATGTGGCTTCTTGAAGTGTATTTATAACCCTGAGACACATAAAGGCTGAAATCTGATACTTGATATGGAATTATTAATTTTAAGACTTCAATAGTGTATAAAGAGGTAAAAAAGTATATACTTCTTTAGCCTTTACAACTTGATTTTTCAGTGGTTGCAACTGATTAATATTTTCCTAAACTTGATACATTTTATATACCTTGCAAAGATAACTGCTTCCTATGATGAGTTCATTCTTAGAATATTGATTTGGTCTTACAGATATATAGCACTAAACTTCTGTTAAATTTTGCATTATGGAATTAGGAAGTATTATATGGGCTAAGACTGCAGATATGTAATTTATAATTGTTACCATAGGTACCTAACTAGTTATTAATATAAAAAAGGGGAGCAAAGGGAATTATACATTGAGCTTAATAAACTGGGGAACATGAGCCTGTTTGCTTCACCAAGAAGCTGCAGCTTTTCATAGACTAGGGACCACAGTCTTGTGCTCCAAGGGGATTAACACCCCTATCTTCCCTGCTCCTGTACCCAGATGCTAGGAGAGGAAGGGAGGGGCACTTGACCATAGAGGCCTGTCAGTCTAGCCTGGGAAACAATGGGTTAGCCAGGGGGTAGACCCATCAAAAAGCCCTCGAAAGCTTGGGAAGTTAATTGGTTCTTTTGAAAAAACACCTGGTTTATTTCAAACCCAATTTAAAATAACCTGGGGAAGCAAAGAAGAGCGCTCTCTCTCTCTTTCTCTCTCCCACACCTGCCCGGTGATGCAGTTACCTGTGTGTCTTCATGAGCTCTCATGAGCTCACAGTCATGCAAGTCTAGCAGCTACTGGGGCTTGCAGCAGACATGTGGACTCCAAAGAACTGAGCCTTAATATGTATCAGATATTTTGGACACTGACTTCTGTTTTTGCCTTGCTGAAGACACAGCTGAACTTTTTCCATGGTGGGATGAGGGAGATGAGACACAGGGGCAGCCT